TGATGGAAATGGAATCACATGCTTCGTCAGCCACACTACGGGTATGAGGACACCTGGCATGCGCCGTCTCGGGATATGATCGATGGGCTATGCTATGTTCAGAAACGACAGCATTCGAACCCAATTGCCGGGAATATGGGAGTTGCTGTAGAAGGGCATGAGGGTGTGAGACCTGGTCGGTGTAATGAGGAGTCTGACCGCACTCATCCGAGCAGAAGAGATCTTGTTCCTGGTGTCACATTTCAGGCGCTGAGTCGATACTCTACCAAGAACAGGTGGTTCGAGATCTATACGCGTGGACCGCGAACTATACATTGGTATGTGACGACACCAAAGGAGTGGCTGAAGTTTTCGAACGGCGACGGTATGCTTGGACCTGACGATGATGATGTGAGAATCGAGATCAACGTTGATTGGGATCTGGTACCTGACACGTTCGAAGAGGAGATCTTGATCGATGTCAAGTCGAAGGAAGGAGACTTTGAGCAGCTTCACCTACCCATCACCGCCCGAAAAGTGCCTAAAACCATCACACCAGGCTTTATTGAGGCGGATGGTTACGTCTCGATACCAGCTACCGCGTCGCAAATACATCCGCCATATCGCGTTCTGCTCGACACTGGAAGACTCCCGACTGGTTCCATCAGTCTCGATACTTCAACACACATTCAAGGCGATGACCTACCCTTCCTGACTTACACCTTCTACAACTTCACTGTCGTGAAGGAAGCGACCTTGATCATTTACTTCGGCACGACTTTGATCCTCTCGCCTGACGAGACTCTGCAGTATGATTTACAAGTCGATGATGGACCAGTCGCGACCCACGATCTGTACTCCGTTAGTGCTGAAGCGATACAAAAGTCCAAAGATGAAGGCTGGCCGGCTGCTGATGGATGGTTTGAAGCTGCAGGAGATAATGTTTGGGTCAACCGACATATCATCTCGGGAGAAGTCCTTACGCCAGGCCGGCACGATTTGAGGTTCAGATTACGCCATAGCAATATGCTGCTTGAGAAATTGGTTTTGGATCTGGGCGGAGTAGGCGAAAGCTATCTTGGGCCGCTGGCCAGTCTTTTTCTAGCACAACAGTGAAGACCTGGAGTTTCATAA